CCGAATACAATGCAGTTATTAAAAGAGATATTAGACGGATCGTATAGAGAGTAGGTCAGCTGATATTATATCAATCGATTATTGCCATTCTGTTACTCTCGTTTCTCTACTTTAATCTTGAAGCCAGCAACTTCTGAACGCCATTGTAACCGAGGTTCGCAATTCGAAAATTTGATAGGTTGTCTCGATAGGAGGTCGTATTAACTACCGATAGAATCTAAACTCGTTAACAAAGTTGTTATAAACTCTGTATAAACACTCGGACAAATAACGAGCTCATTTACGAACGGAATTTACGCAAAACTATGTATATATGGTAATAGGCTACATAATCGCTGAATTCAAAACAATGGAGGTTCCACGTACAATTTTCGTTGGTATTTGCTGCTATTAAAACTGCTATTAATATATAATAAAGATGTATCGATGAAAAGTATGAAACCCTGTTCTGCGAAGAACAAAGATTCCAGTGTTTAAACTATAAATCGTCAGATCTCGCGATTCGAAGGAAACGCGTGATATCCATTCCGATTCCATCGCAAACGTTACAGCCAGGATAGAAAGATGAAGACGAAACCGAGAGAGTAGTTTCAATCACCTTTCGAGACTAAGTAAAACGGAGACAATGCTAGCCGTGAGACAATGGTACGCTAAAACGGGACGAGCACTTCGACGTAAGAACGACGATGTTCGCCGTAGTCATTGTTTCGTGTACGCTCGTCACGTCAAGGCTAACGGCTGCAATTGATTTCTCAGTGGAGGATGCGAGGATCCTCCGTTTGAAAGGAACCTCTCAAAGCTCGTCGTGCAAACGGAATTTGCGCACACCAACGCTAAACTAAGTGGTAATTCCAGTTCGATCAAAGAGCTTCGAAGAGATTTATGGAAATAAAACGATCTATTAAATAGATGCTGCTTATGGTTGGACAAAGACCGTTGCCGTATCTTCTTTCTGAATTATTTCTCTTTTTTCTCACACACACACACACCACGAGCACGTACACCTACATTTTTGAAATTTTCACATTTCTACATGTCGAAGCAAAAGTCATTGCCTGGTACTTTGCTCGACAATCGCAAAATAATTTACCAATTTCCACTGTTACTCTGCGTCTGTTCGTTCGTCGTATTTCATTTCATGAATTTTACAACCTTCGTCATCTCCTTTTATTCCATGACACCGCGTTAATGTTCGTTACGATTCTCGTATCCCATCCCAATATTTTACATCCTCAATTTACATCGGTTTCTCCTGCTATTAATTATCGTTAAAATATATCCCGTTAGCCATTAGTTGAGTGACGTTTATTTCCTTTATCGTAGGTACATATAACGGCTCTCTACTTTTATATAAAATTGTTGCCAAGTCGACGTTAATTTCTTCGTGTCAGACGTTAAAAATTGATCATTTGTTTTATTCGCAAATACGTGTTCACTTTGCAGTTTAAAATGCAGATGAGTTGATCGATGCTTGGAATGGAACTTGTTTGTTCAAAGTTGTTCAATTTGTTTATTAATCAAACGAAGTGCAACTTGTTTGCCATAGCTTCTCCACTGATATGAAATACATGGATCGATAGATCGGCGAAAGTTTTTAGCTTAGATCATCTAACAACGGCGATATTTCATAAGAATTAGCTTTAAAATATTCTCTACAAAAAAAAAAATTACTACAAGAGACTTTGCCTCTGTGCAACACACGACGACTACAACAACCAAAAAAGGACTACTAAATAGCGTTAAAAATCCAATGTCAATTCGAAGCAGTTCGCGGAATCAAACTCTGAAACCTTAAAACGTTTCAAACTTTGTTCGGAATAGAATTTCGTCAGAAATTGAATCTGTGTTTTCAATTATCGCCCAGCAGTAGTACCCTTCAAACTTTTTCCACCTCGAAACGGACTTGTTTGAGGTGAGAGATTAATTTACACTTCGATCTCTAGTGGTTGAAGGCAACGATCATGGTATATGCATACATATGTATGTACATTGTATATCGAGGCAAGTTATTCCCTTAATATTTTATTCTTTGAAAAGGGAGTTTTCTTTCAGAGTTGCGTCAAGAAGCAACGAGAAGTCCCGTCCCTGTTGTGATTATCATCACAGATGCATTGAAGTTAAATTACTATTGGACTCGAAGAACGCTGTTCCAGGAATTCGATAGCTCAGTCATGAGAATGGTTAACAGTCAAACAGGTGTTGCGTTACAGTTAGGGAAGGAACCGTTTGTTCGCCGACTCAAACTCGGAGATAGGTTGATTATTTGAGCAAGTTAAGCGACATTTGTCGTGACGATAAAAGATCGTAAATATGTCGACTGTTTCGTTTCGCTTTCTGCATGGCGGTACGACTTTTTCCCAAATATTCTACTCACGTACAGTTGTCGTAGAGCGAATGACATCAAACAAATATAATTCAAGCACAGTTGCTTAATTAATTAATTCTCATAAAGTATCGTTAGATTTTCGTTCTTACGACGATCTCGCGATAAAGTAATTGATACGACGAGTGGTCGATTTAATAAAGAACAGTTATTATATAGCAGTCTGGTTATTTAGCTGGTAAATTTTACACGAAATATCGCCAATTATAATTAAATTGTATCATGTCAGTAGCTGTAAAAATATAGGATATGAACTTTAAACCGTACGATATGCAAATAGGTACGTGCACACGAAACGGTATAAAAAGTGTAACAACGGTATGATGATAAGCGTCGCGAGAGATTCGCTAAGTTCGTAATCGTTCTTTGAAGATGAAAATATTGTACAACGCATGTCGAAAAAGGAAAATAAAAAAAGGATTGACCTGGTGAGGTCGAGCGACCTTTGAATAAATCGATAGATCGGCTTACGCATTAATACGTCATGTGCAATTAGTTTACAATCATAAGCGCGTAGCCAGAGAGTGCTTTATCCGGTATAAATGAAAATAAATATGTAACTTTGACGGTAACAAGCTTTTTTCGTACTGTTTACTCTTTCGTATCGTCCTTGATAAATATGGGAACATAAACGCGAATAATCAAAGAATTATTTTATAACGAGAGAATTATTTAATAACGAAGAAATTATTTAATAATGAAAGAATTATCGAATAAACGTCCCTATTGTAATACCGTGAACTAGCTGCCTTATAAATTATTAACACACTTTAAAGACGAAGATTGCGTTTTAATAATCGGCAACAACTTGTTCAAGATTAATCGAGTCTTTGCAAAATTTATTACGTTCCTCGAACAGAGACAATGCTTTCCAACTTTCTGTCAACAATGACCTCTCGTTTATTTCTTACGATGGCACGAGAGAAGAAACAGTCGTTACATTGTTCTATACTACCCAACGAAATCGCATTCGAAATTCCAATGTTGTCCCGAACAAATACAATGGACAGAAGAAACGCAGTATGCAAAACAGTCACGTAAAACGAACCGTATCAATCAGTTTCCAACATACTCTGCAGCGACTCTCCCTTTTTCGTAAATCGCAACCTAACTTTCAAATAACAAGGTACTGTAAAACAACCGTCGGAAAGTACTTTCACGATGGTGGTACCGTGACAAAGGGAGATCTGCCAAACAAAATATTCATGGTTGCTCGTACTCCCTACCTGATATTCTCACCGATTCATTCTCACGATTCATTCTCACAGAAATACACATATACATTTTATCGTATTTAATTTATGCATTACACGTATATTTATGTAAAGATAAAAGATATCGTGCAACGTTTTCGCAAATTCCATCGCGATATGTGATTAATCTTTAAACAAATTCAACCATAAAACGGCATTTTCATCGATAACGTCGGGGAATAGCGTAAAAGCAGAGTATCATTCTGGTACACGATGCTTAATGGCAAACGTTCGTTTCTATAGAAATATATTTATTTTATATCGTTACGATGAATTTTCGTAATTTCTTTTAAACGCCTATCCCAAAATTATCAGACAGTATAATTAACGAATATCCTACATTATCAGAGATATGTCATCAGATATCAGGTTATCGAGAACACGGCTCTTTATCTCAGTGACTGCTATAGATCGCGCTATGTACGCTACTTATTCACGTCTGGCCATTGTTCGACTTGTCGTTGCATCCAGACACCGATTCCACGATCCTAGCTGTCTATAAATTCTCTCTTTTCTAAATACCAATGTTATCGTTCTCGCGATTATTTTATCATCGTTGGGCAATTATTCGACGAGTCTAGAGGAGTGCCGTTTAAAGCAACCGATCACGTAAAACGAGTTAAATCGTACATCGGAAGTTATACGCGTAATTTTGATACGCTAAAGCCCGCGTAAATTGTACAACGACGCATCGTCTCTGCTCAATCGACTCTACGCGAATGCACAAGTCGACAAGTGAGGTCGTGTTAATGCGATGACAAAGGGCCGCGAACCCGAATCTCGCGCACCAGGGTTTGCGTCCACGAGTTTTTCTAAAAGCGTACTCCACTTACACGTGGCTCGTTTTGCACGATACTTGACCCCAATTCCGTGCGTGCACGCGAAATGCATGGGTTTAAGCTTCAAGCATAATGACAGCCGGTCTCGATAATCTTCAAAGGAACAGCGAAATTATCTGTACTTTGAGGAAAAGGACAAGCGGAATTAGCTACGTGTACCTAGGCGCACAGTTTCTCGCTACGATAGTTGGGCGTCGATCCGAGACTATATCGTTACGGCTCTGCCTATCATGTCAGTTTAAAAACGAGGGAAAATTTTACGTAGTATATTACGAATATGAGATTTTTATGAGAAACGCGAGACGAGGAGAAAATGAAATAAAAACGATACGCGTTGCTAAAATGTTCGAAAGACTCTTCTACATATTTGCTCGTGCAGAACCGAGATTAATTACCCAGCGCGTTGTAAATCATTGTTCGAAGAAAATGTGGAGAGGTAGGTTCGCACTGCGAATAATACGTGTGTAACTGAGCCACGTAGACAGAACTAACACTGTACAGGTACTAAAAGCGGTATACACTTACCTGTTTATCTGGCTCTTTGCCTTTGGCGGTGATGAGGCGATCGCAGTAGCAACCCTCCAACAAAACAACACCGCTGGGTCTCGAACAGCTTTCATTTTCATAGTAGAACAGCAAATTCTGTAACATATATAGCCATCGTCATACGTCTAGAACGAAATATAACGACATTAAATTTAAAAGCAAACTTTCGACTATTTCTCGAAGCGAGGGGAAAAGAGCTCGCCTGATGACGTGAAAATTTCATTTGCATGTTACGCGCAACAGTTTCTACAGGGTAAATGTAAAAGTACTTATACGATAACACGAGTTGAAGCTTCGAAAAACTATGTTTGTTGTTACATTTTAACGAAGCGGAATATACGACCACGGAAAAGAATGAAAAAAAAAAAAAAAAAAGGAAAAGATAGGAAACATTGGTGGAACTGCATTTAAACGAAAAATTTTGTTTTTACGAAATTTGTAACTGTATTTACCTAAAAGCGATGCTACGTAAAAGGAAAATTAATATATGTATTAATTATATACAAGAAAAGCAGTTTCAAGTAGCGACGAGTAAAATTTCTCGGCCAGGCAGATTTTCCTAATTAGTTTCGGATACGCTGGTATAGCTACTTATCACGTTAAATCACCAGTTATCGTGGAAAACTGTAACGTTACATGCACGCGCATACAACTTCCACGCGAACAGTTTCTTCGATTCGTTCAAAGTACCAGATTTTCCCCCTTAAATACGAAGTTTCGACAGGATGATCAACACGAAAATCGACGTATGTATCACTCACCTGATATAAAACGAACCATCGTAATTGCCACTTGGCCGAGTCGGCGGTTCGTTTGTGCAAATATCCAGTGAACGAGTGATCGTAATGAGCTTTTTCCGAGAGCATGATGAGCTGCGAGTCGTTCACCCTCACTGAAACATACAACGAATATCAGACGTGAAATGGTAGGAATTGTAGCCGAATCCATAATTTAGCCGTTCGAACGTAACGTTTCCAGTTGCGTTATACGCGTTCTGATGCTGCCTACTTATCGTGTCATTTTTCTTCTCTGATGAATTTATTCGCCACGTTACCGGTCGACTTAACGAGACAGTTTACTCGGAAAAAACGTTTCGTCCTCGTCGATCTTCTCTGCCACCAACTTTTTGCATTTTACGATCAAACTTGTTGTAATTTTAAACTTTTCATCGCGTTTTTGCAAGAAGATACGTGGAAAATTACACGATTATTAGAAAATTCAAAACGACCAGTCGTTAATTCTTGTACGTTCTTTTAAATAATGCATCCGTTGCGCGTATTCTAGCGTAAATAATGCTTCCGCGAGGAAGTTCGACGTCACTAATTTCCTGTAAAAACAGATGCAAATGGCTGCGTAGAATTTATACGATATAGCGACTAGAAGTTGGTAATATGAATGTGAATAGCGTTATTCGATAACACAAATGTTCGTATGGGTTAAATTGGCATAGAGTTTGAAATAGGTCTATCACTCATGCGCGTAATCTGAATATTCTTGCATTGAATTAACACGCGGCATACGAACTTGTGACACGTTTTCACGCACTAACGTTCCTACATCCGCGGTAGTAACACTATATTATGCTTTGAAGAAATCAGGATTCTTGGTAAAATATTCTAGAAACAATTTTTTTCGTCTATAGAAGCATCGAAAGAAAAGATTTGAAGTTTGAAATTTGGAATTTGCAGCCGAGACGAAATTAGACGATTGCCTAATGTTTCCTAGTATCCTAAATCAAATATCTCTGTTGAAACAAGCTTTACAAACGTAGAACCAATCAACGACAAAAGATCTCACGGCGATCCCTTCTGGCCGATCTTTCGGCGAGCAATCCATCGTAAAGTTAAGGATATTCCAAGACGCGTGTTTTGCACGTTCTCGATCCACTCAAATCTGAAAAACACCGAGATTTGTTGCAGCACAACTTCAACTTAAACTTAATTACGATACAAGCGAAGGAAAAGTTTTCTCGTGTATGGAAGCGAGTCGACAGACAGATGTGATTTTTACAGAAGTCATCCATCATGGCAAGTTACTTTTGGTAGACCTGCAAGTCTCTTTGTTCGTGTATTTCTTCGTTCGACGAGAAGTTATTTTCGCTTCTCTGGGAATTGCTTTATTTAAATCGACGAATGATATTTTACCGAATCGATTACGAAACATGTGAGAATTATTTTCTAACGCGTCTTCGCCCTTTACGTGAAAAATTGCTAAGTATTCGTTAACCAAAGGCCGTGGAAACGTGAAACAGGAGTTACCCTTTGAAATTGAAAAAGTAGAAAACTGACGAAAATAAAGGGACTTGATCGTATTTCTTTTTGTAATCCGATGTACGTAAAATAGTATTTTTGACGAATTTGTAAAATTTCCAGGCAACAGGAAACGAAAACGTTTGACCGAATCGTCACATACATGTTTTTTCTTTTTTTTTTTTTGTATGAAAGTGTAACGAATTATTTTTTAGTAAACAAGAGCCACGAAACTATGGACTTTTTGCGCCAATTTTTGTTTCCGAAAAGCTGATTTCGAATATCTGTCAAACGAATCGCGCGTGGTCTATATTAAATATTCAATCGAAACAAATTTTTCAGTTTAATATTCGTGTTTTATCAGACTGCTATATTTTCGCGGTGCACGTTTGATAAAAGGGTTCCGGTCGAGTTGCAACGAATGTTTTTCAAAGACATATCGACCGACGCATAAATTGAGTCGAGAATGTTGAAAATAGCAATGGCTTCGCTCGCAACTTACCAGTTCTTTGCATCTTTGGGCTGAGCATGATCACAGGTCGTTGGCGAAGCTTCTTTTCGACGATCCACGCGATAAATATTGATTGTCCAGAATACCTTGTATAGGGTGCGATGACGTAGAAAATAGCACCGTGCTGTCGTGATGTTGCGCACGGACGTTTATCGTGGTATAAGTATCTTAGGAACTCCAATTTCTTGAGCCTCTTCAACAACGCGTCCCACCACGGTTCTAAACGAGGCAAGTAGGAGAAAAGAAACTGTTCAACTTCTTGAATTATCAGAAACTTACGTACACTTTATAATAACTTGTTCTACTCCTTTTTGAATATCATGTATACGTATAAAATGGTCCGATAAGTAAAATATATTACAATCGTGTTTTAAAGGAAGTTTCAAAATGAAAGTAATAATAGAACAGGCCATGAATTTTATAACGAGTATGGTAATGCGTCTCCTTAACAGCTTTTTCTTTCTTACTTTTCTTTCAAACAAATTGAACTAGCAATCGATGTATTTATCAGTTTCAAAATAACGCGAAGAGCAGCTTCGTTCTAAATAAATACGTCATCTTCTAATTAATGTATCGAGCAATATATCATAACAGGATTAATCATTATACCGTGTTGTCAAACAAAGAAGAAAAGTATACGACTATCGCATAAATTGTACGCCTAATAATCGAAAATTGTATATAATTGTAAAGATAATTTGTAAAATCTTATTTGTCCTATACCAAACTGTGACGTTACCGTGACAACATTCGATATTTGTTTTAACGCTTTTATCTCCAACGCGTTTCGTACGTTCTATTTCTCTACAGTTCTATCTTCCATTACTTTTTCTCTATGTTCGAGCTTGTGAAACAAAATATGCGAATAATAGCATTCATATGCTTTCTAAGACAGATTCCGCACGGGAGACGGTATTTTGATAACAGTAACTTTATATCCATCGATATCATTGTTTTTCTAGGTCTGTGATACGCGTACGAACGTAACGATAGAAACCACGAAAAAATGAAAAATCGCATAAAATTCGAGGCCGTGTATAGACAGTATGAGGCAGATCCGCGATTAATTGTACATAGCTTTTCAAGAATATCTAAGGTTGGTTCTGCAAGTACGTACATACAGTTGGGCAAATGGACGTCGCATAAGTACTCTTAGTCGAAACTTTCTTTGAAGTTACAGCAACTTACTTTAGTTTATTTATAGCTGAATTCGTAATTTCGTTCGCAATTTAAGATACAAGAAATTTATGCGTAAGGCTGAATCTTTCGAAACGTGAAATACTGCAGTGTAACGTAACAAAATAATTACGCGTTCTAAAGATAAATCTAAAAATTATAGCAAAGAAATATAGGTGCTACTTGAGTAGCCTCAAAGTTGTTTACTCTTCTATTTCTTACGTGTGAAAAGTATAAAAAGACACGCGACATGATTGCTCATAGCTTAACATAATGTGTACTTTCTAATGTAGTGTAACACGTTTCATAAACATTGCTTAATAGATTCAAACGTTATGTAAAGTACATGTAAATGCAATTTTCTTTAATACGTCAATTACTTCATATCGTATATTTATATTGAAATATTATCAGCGGAATAATATTTCTTTATATATTTGTCATTAACGGCAAGTAATTACAATATAAACAAATATACGTATACTTGTGCGTAATTAAATATTTACAATTAATTAAACCTTTATTTTAATAAACTGGATTTAGTATTATTGTGCATACACGGCAGGATTTCCCATTATTCGTCGTATAACAACATCATATAACAATATTACAAATGATACATTTAAATCATTATATTTTATTTTGTAGATTAAGCTTATATTTATTATTGACGATATTGTTGCGTAATATTTCTTCTATAATTCAAAAAGAACTTCTATAATTCAATTTTGGCCGAATTTTGTATTCTTTCCGGCTTCCATTTCCTCTTATTAGCATAATAAATATATTTAGTTTTATTCGATCAAGTAACACTCAGACATGACACAATGTCCAGAAAAATTTTTTTTCGAAAGAGAATATTAGTGGCGTTAGATAAAAATTCGACAGTTTATTAGCGTTTAATCGTTTAAATTAATTATATCGTGGCAGTATCTGTTAGACTTTCGATTAAAAACGCAGTCGCCTCTATAGTGAGATACCTAAATAATTAAAACAGAGGAATGTTTATTTTAAAACTCTCATCTGCTGTTTTCCGGAACCAACTAAAAATTCCAGATTGCTCGTCGTCGTCGTTTAACGCTATTCGATGTGGGAAACGAATGAAACGTCGCTACCACGTATCGGATTAACGGTTTTTTATTTATCGAAATATTCATTTATTTGTCAGAAAATCCACACGCTCGCATCCTGTGATTCATGGAATTTCATTACACGCGCATCATTATCTTTTGCTGTCGACACGCGGTCCAGAGTTTTACGTTCCGTTTCACAAACGAGATTTGCTACAGGCCGGATATTACACTATCGTTCGCTACGTCCATATGTATTTACATATCTACATACGTGTATATACATACATATATGCCTGTTGCTTGGAAACAGTATTTTAAACTTTCGTTATCCTGTGATTTGTATCATTCGCAATCAAAAATTTCCATTCGAATCTCTGCACGACTAAATTTTTGTCCGACGATTGTAACTTTATAATTTGACGAAACCAAGTGTAAAATCGAGATATGTATCCGTGTTCCTCCATATGTGTCAGTATAAATAAAATATGGAAGTTTGGCCAAGATAACATCTCTTCGTATGAATAGAAAAAGTAACTGGATAGATTCAAATTTTGCATGAAATTTTACGTAATATTTCTCAAAACTTATTATTTCAACTTTTATCTAACTCCACATTTTGCGATGTAGCAAATCAACGTTGCTAACTGACCGTGGATTAAATCATGTTCGTCTCCCGCATTAAAATCTACACGATCATTTACAAAGAAAAAAAAAATCCACCGAGACATAAATCGTTAGACTAAAAACGTAGTCGTTATACGTGACTATTGGTATCTGTAACTCGTGAAGTACGTGCATATACGCTTCGCGAATGCATAAGATCAAACACGTTCCAACTCGAATAGATAACGTTTATGGAACACCGAAGTGTAATGGAACATCCTGCGACATACCGACAGCCCTATCAAAGGATACAGCTTTCTTTTCGGTATACTATTCATTGGGAATAACCATGCGGCAGCATCCATTCGACGACGCGACACCGTAATACAACCGCATCAAACGAAAGAGGCGCTCGCTGCGGCAAACGATGCTTCAGCGGATTAATCGCGCGCAATTCGCACCGTTCGAACCGCATTGTACGTTCCAAACGAATCAATGGCCAAAAAAAAAAAAAAATCATAAATCAAGAATAAAACGAGAAGAAGAAATTGAAGAAAGGAGAGAAAGAGAAGAAGAAACGAAGGAAGAGGGAAGTATAGTATAGCGAAGCGATTTTGGTGACACAGTACCTGTTACTTCTTCCCCCGATATATCTATCCTCTCCAGTTCTCGACTGATGTTGCACCACCTGTTCGTGCTCCAGATTCACAGTCCCCCCTCCACAGTAGTCTGCCTCTCTAAATATATATGTATTCCCTCGGCCACGGATGTCCGAGGATGCGGCGGCA